AAGTCCTCTTCAAAACCAAAGACAAAGGGGCCCTTGCTTCTTAGGTCAGTTACTGACCTTGTGTATTTACTTAGGGATTTAGAAACAGCCTCAGTAAGTGCTTATGGGGCAAAACAAGTTCTAAGGCCCTACAGCTCATTTAGTGGGTGTAGGTGAGGAGTGGCAGTCCTAGAAACACACCCAGGGGACTCATTAAAATCCTGTTTCCTGGAGCAGCATTTTCAGGGGAGGTCATTGTAGCTGAGGGAATAAGACCATGAATTCCAGGACAAGGCCCCGGCTCACTGTTACCCCAGAAATAACGAGATTGACAACTACAGGGTCTCCATTGGGCAGATTCTCTCTTATTTTTTCCCCAACAGTTTTCCTGTGCTCAGCTTCTGTCATAGATGCCAAGGAGGATAGAAACATATGATATAATTTGAGTTCCTAGACTAAAGTACTCAGTCAGCGCCAAGACAAGGCTGGTGGGGAGAGCTTCTAAAAAAGGAGAGTTGAATCGCAAAAGGTAGAGGAGAGACAGCTCCTGGCTTCCACTGGATCCTCAGGTTCTCTCAGCTGCTGGCCTGCATCCATCTCAATACTCAGACTTGCAGTGCTAGTAAAAGGGAGGAGTCTCTGGCCTCTGGTGTCAGACAAAGACATACACACATCTACATCCCATCTTGCTGAAGAACCACCTCTTCTTTCTTCATCTTCTTGAACATTTCCATCCCTCATATGAACCTCAGGGCCATCAGTGTGATCTGGCAGCTGTGCCTCTCCTCATCTGAGGTAAGAGCTCTGTCTCTGTTTCAAGGAACTATGTGGAGTCTGGAAGTGTCGACAGGGTCAAGAGTTTACACTAGTCTGCTTCTCCAATTCTCTAGCCTCTTGAGAGTCATAGTTTACCCACTCTTTTCTCTACAGTAGGTACCTTGTACATGGAGACATTCTGGGACAGGGTCCTCTATTTCCTGATGCTGGCCTGCTGAAAAAATGCTCAGCATTTAACCTTTGGACATCTGGATTATTCTGGCCTCTAATAGTTTGTACCCCAAAGAGGACCATTTAAAGCCAGTTAAAGTGGCTCTTCAATAGATGCCTACTTGACACTAAAGTCCTATAAACCAAGAAACCAAATTCATTGCTATTGAGTTGATTCCAATTCATAGCATCCCCCATCAAGTTTCTGAGGCAATAAATCTTTATAGAAGTAGATGGCCCCATCTTCCATCCATGGAGTGCCTGGTGGGTTTAAACTGCTGACCTTCTGGTTAGTAGCTAAAGTTCTATAGCAAAAGAAAAAACAAATTGATGTCAATGATATTTTTTATTGAGCAATGATAGAAATAAATCACAAATTTTTAGTTCCATGTTGTTAATCAGTTCTGTCTAACCATTTCCCATGAAATTCAGCAATGTCCCTGTGTCAATCATAGTATCTGATGACTTCTCTTGGTTTAAGGTCCCCATGCTCCACCAGCAGCTTTGCAAAAGGGGGTTCCCTCCTCTGTGAGTCTGAGAACAAGAACTGTATGTTTATTGAGCCTGACTTGAAGAAGACCCTAGAAGAGAGGAACCAGAGAACAGAAAAGAGAAAGCAGGGACCTGGAATCAGAGGAAGGAAGGCAGGTGAATGGGATCCTGATTCCTGATCACACAAGCTTACCAAAGCATCCTCTTACCTTTGAAATCCTGTCCAAACTCCTGGTGTGGGAATCTAGAACAATATGCCCAGTGAATTATTTTCCTTCCTTCTTTCATCTATCCAGTAGTCTTTTTATTGAAAACAAAACAAAATATTTCAAGTATGATATTTACCAGACACTGAGTGGGGAATCATCCTTGAACTTAATTTTTTGTTGTTGTCAAAAGGGAAAGACAGCCCTGCCAGTCAATGTTTTCATTTTGTGAAGCAAGAGAAAGATTTCAGATCCCAAGGAACAATGACATGCATTTTAAAGAGGACATTTTTCTAATTGATTTCTTGCCTAGACTTCACTGTGGCAATAGTGCAGGGAGGAGATTCTTGCACTATTCTTCACATGTCCTGACCTGTACACATGCCTCTCTCAATTAGTACTGGCTGACCCTTCTTTACTTAGCTATCTTCTATTCATCCTCAGTGTGTAGCTTTTTTATCACTTACTTGCATATTCCTTCCCTAAAATTTCAGTTGTGTGGATTCATAGTTTGTTATATTGTTCTTTCTATATCAGTCATCACCATTGAATGTATGTATTTGTTTGTCTTATGAATTTTTCACATCTATGAAATAACCATAGCACAGGTAGGTCCTTAGAAAATGTTTATTGAATGAATGAAGGGCATCTGGATTAGATGGGCCTTCCAGCTTCGGGATTTTATGATTCTGCCAATTAAATGTCCCAACTCTAAGTTGACCAGGGTGGTGACAAAAACAGAATATTGGAGGAATAGGTGCAGATGACAGAATGGAAAGATGAAGAATTCTCTTCTCCTCCAGAGTGCTTCCTAAGCTCCACATTTAACTGTGAAAGATCCTCATTTACAAAGAATAAGGTAAGTAATTGCCTCACAATCCTCACCACTCCACTTCCTCTCTACCTCAACCCACCTTTCCAAGTACTGCCATTTGAATTCAGGATTCAATGGACCAGTAGCCTTTCAGATTTGCTTACATTTTTGAGATAGAAGTATCTACTTTCTATTTTCATAGTCTTAATTATTATTATTATTAGGGTGAAATTTTACAGAGCAAACTCATTTTCCTTTCAATAGTGCATGCATGTTTTGTTTTGTGGCACAGATTATGCCATGTTCATAGTCTGCTGTGCCATCCAGGTGTAGCTTTGGGTTACCTTTTCCTCTTTTGTAGCTCACTCCTTTTGTCATATGCCCTAAAAACAAACATCTTGCCATACTTTTGAAAATTTCACCTATTAACTTTTCTATGTCATCTCCCAAACAAACATGTTGCATTACCAGTACATATGCAAACAACTTTTGTATCCTTCCTACAGATTTACCTCCAAAATCTCTACTACTCGACCACCCAGTGCAGCCCAGAATTTACTTTCACTCTAGCAGAGAATCATAATGCCCACGAAGGACATGAAGGCAGTGCAAGAGTGCAAAAGAAGAAGTTATCCAAGAACCAATAGTCTCCCCTGTTGAGGAAGCTGTCAACAACAATGAGCCATGAAAGTGAAGACAGATATACCAAGTAGGGGAGAAGATGTCAAAGAGCTATATTGTAAACAACACTTTTAAAACTGAATTGGAATATTAAGTATATTTTAAGCAGAGAACCACTTGGATTTTAAACTAATTCTCAGTATGTTTTGTTACTATATGCAGAGAAAACTTATCTATTACAGAGATGTTGCTTGGACTTATTCTCTTGGATGCCTTATTTAGAGATGGCTAAATGATTTGCTATTACCAATATACCCATTCTCCACTTATCTGACAACTTTTTCATAATTCAGTACAAAAAATTAAGAAATTCAGGGATCAGAAAAGCAAATTTAGCTGACAAGAGGAAAAGATATCATTTCATGAGATTCCCATTGGCCACCTTGCAGTGCTCTGGAACACTACAAAGCTAGTGTGCATACCACTGATAGCAAGGCTTCCATTGAAAATCCATCTAACAGCTAGGCAACTAAATAAGCCACACAGAATGGGGCTCTGGAACTCCACCTTGGGAAGTGGCTTCATCTTGATGGGCATTCTGAATGACAGTGGATCTCCTGAACTGCTCTGTGCCACAATTGCAGTCCTGTACATGTTGGCCCTGACAAGCAATGGCCTGCTGCTCCTGGTCATCACAATGGACTCCCGACTCCATGTGCCCATGTACCTCCTGCTCAGGCAACTCTCACTCATGGATCTCCTCTTCACATCTGTTGTCATCCCCAAGGCCCTTGTGGATTTTCTACACCAAGAAAACACCATTTCCTTTGGTGGCTGTGCACTTCAGATGTTCCTGGCACTGACATTGGGTGGTGCAGAGGACCTCCTGCTGGCCTTCATGGCCTATGACAGGTATGTGGCCATTTGTCATCCTCTGAACTACATGGTCCTCATGAGTCCGAGGGTCTGCTGTCTCATGGTGGCCACTTCCTGGATCTTGGCATCCTTGAGTGCTTTAGGGCACACCTTGTATACCATGCACTTCCCTTTCTGCATGTCCCGGGAAATCAGGCACCTGCTGTGTGAGATCCCACCCTTGCTGAAGCTGGCCTGTGCTGATACTTCTAGATATGAGCTCATGGTGTATGTGACAGGTGTGACTTTCCTCTTGC